GCTGCGTCATTATCGTCCCTCACCATCACTGTTGTCGTTCAAAACACATAATAATTGAATTAAAATTTATTTCTTTGGAAAGGTTACAGTGTGTGTTTACAATTTCATAATTTGATTGGGACGAAGAAAGTTACTATCATGAAGAGGCATTTCGGGCAAATATATATTTTGTACTCGAAAAAAAAAAATGAATTTTCCCCGGGACTTTTCATAGACTTCAGAAAAGCTTTTGATACAGTTGACAGTGACCTATTGCACCTAAAACTTGAACAATACGGGATCAGAGGACACTCTCTTGATTACCTAAACTCTTATCTTAGCAATAGAGCCCAGTATGTTTACACAAATGGAGCTAACTCCACCACCCAACCTGTTCTTGTTGGAGTCCCACAGGGGTGTCCTTGTCCCACTTCTCTTTCTCATTTACATCAGTGATCTCCCAAATTCATCTAATCTCCTTAAACCCATTTTATTTGCAGATGACACTACTTATGTCTTCTCTCACCCAGACCCAACTATACTAACAGACACAGTAAATGCCGAACTGCTAAAAGTATCTACTTGGATGACTACCAACAAACTTACTCTCAATATAGACAAAACCTACTTCAAGCTATTTGGAAACATCTTCAAATGTACAGCTAAACATATTGATAAATGGTTCACCCATTTCTAGGCAGACAGACAGGGCAAATTTCTTGATCTCCACCTTGACTGCAGTCTCAAATTTCAGACACACTTACACCAAATTTCCAAGTCTCCAAAACAGTAGGTATCTTTTCAAAGATACGGTACTATGTACCCCAATCAGCTCTTCTTGCTCTGTACCACTCTCTCATTTACCCTTACCTCACATATGGTATTTGTGCATGAGGCTCTACCACAGCAAATCACCTTAAACCTTTAATAACCCAACAAAAAGCTGCAGTGCGATTGATTACATTACTCGCACTGCAGCTGGTTATCTTTATTGTAGATACCCAGATGTTGCACATGTGTCTTAACTTTCATCTTGTCGGTATTGTATACCTTTCTTGCACAACTTGTCAGACACTGCAACATCATGGAATCTTGGTTCAGAGGACATCTACAAGACCTTCACGACCACTACAACTAACTCATCCCTTTGGGTAGGACCTACTTCCACTGGGGAATCCCGCCTACCAGTGACTATGTCCTCGTCTGCTACACGTCCTTATCCACTGACGCCTATATAAACACCAGTCTCCTTGCCTGTGCTCCAGGCGAATTTCTTCACCTCATGACTAACACGCCAACTTTGAATGTGTTCTGGAAGACACTAAGTGACAGACAACTTGACAGACTCAAGACATACCATGACTACTGGACTTCTTATTTGAGAGACTCTCAGGCGTCTTTACAATGTTGTCAATCTCTTCCTCACTCTTTATGACCCTGCTCCTCAACATCGATACGTATAAACTCTACGTCTTACTCTTGTCCTATTATTGTCTATCAACTCTTTTTAACTGCCATGGTCACTGGGCGACGTTCTCTGTGCGTTTTGAGTTGCTTGCGAATGTCGTTTGCGCCACTTTTCCACCGTGCTAACGCCCGACTTGCACGTCCAGTCTTGCAATTGATATACTGATGAGAGCGACAACAGATGCACTTTTTGCTTCCCTTGCTTAGCAGTTGGGTCTAGTCCCGACACTTCCTTGTTCTCCGACATTTCCTCTCCCCCACCTATTCTTCGTCCTGTCCCCACTTCCCCCTCGCCCCTAGTGGGTCCTTACCTGTGAGTCCTCTGTTCTGTTCTTTGCTCCAGAATCTCGACAACCACGGTGCTCTCAACACCAACTCCAAGGCTGAGGGACTGATTACCTCATCTCTTTTGTATATAGTTCTAGTCTTCTAATTATGTCCTCACTCACCCATTTGACCATAAACAGAAATATCAATCTCAATCTTAAAATAATGAATCTTAACTAGTCATAAGTTGGCCTGTGATACTCCAATACTGAAACAATGTATAGTGCCAAAACAAAAGCATTCACATTGCTAAACTCACAAACTAGTATTTAGTCACTTAGCCATAATACCAACTTACCTCATAATTTGTAATATTTTAAATTTAAGAATTAATCTAAGTCTGCCCGAAATGCCTAGCCATGCTAGGTGTTCTAGTGGTACACTCTGTAATTATTATTTTACTACATGTAAACCACACAATAACCAAATTCTGTAAACTCAGCATTGTAATCCTTATAGAGAATAAACTTTGAATTTGAATTTGAATTTGAATCTGTATTGATAAAGCCACTGGATGGCGAAACGTCTACAATAAAGATTACCAGATGTTGCACATGTGTCTTAACTTTCATCTTGTCGGTATTGTATACCTTTCTTGCACAATCAGTCAGTCTGTTCACATTGCACGTTGCTCCATAAACATACTTATCTACGTTCATGTTATCATAGTGGGTTATAGATCTACTCAGGCTTCTAACTGCATTCCTATAACAATCATTTTCATTATTTACTTCTCTCCTAATAATTCCTATGTCCCTGATTTTACTAAACGTATATTCTCATTCTCCATCTGGGTTGCTCTACTGGCTATACAATACGACAATATGAATTATGAGAAGTAGCCCAATAGCTTTATGGGACCCATAGATTTGTACATAATTCATTGTCATGACTTTTGATACTATGGCTTCTGCAAGAGCATTTGGGTGAATTATTAAATACGATAAGATGAAAGTTAGGCACAGTCGTTAACTTAACCAAGTGTTGTAGGATCATTAAAGTGATAAGGACACTGTCAGTCCTAGTGATAAGTGACATAGAGACTTTTAGTTGGTAATTATTAAGTTTTGTGGCAATGGTCAGTTTTGCCCAAGTACACATAACATTCGGACTAAACCAATGACCATTATGTAAAGCACAGGGGACAGTCCAGTGATATCAGGAATAACATTCAAAGCTTTGTTACCCGGGGTATTCGGGCAATTATTCTTGTAGTCCAAGAATGACCCATATACATTCACTACTACCTTATTATCTTATACTGTGATGAAGTTGACACGGTGTTGGAAGAACATGCAATGTTTCTACATCGTGATCAATCTTCGTTATCACACATAGTGCAAGTATGTAAACTATAGCACTGTTGCCTAGTAGAGGCCCATCATTAATGAGTTGAAGCATTTATGGTAAGAGAATCAGTTACATTGCAGCCTGTCAACCCTGTATGGACATTTGAGTGCACAGGGGCCTGGCAACAGTCGGGTCCCGAGGGTCGAGCCCCGAAATTCAATCCGGTAACTCCAAAATTCTAGAGAACATCAACTACGACTGCAGCACTACCAGCTGAACAGTGATTGGTGAACAGAACCATCAAATAAATTATTGCAAGTGTGGTGGTGCTGTTGACTAAGCTTAGAATACATGTCTTGGTCAATCAAGTTTTGGTTGTGATTTAAGAAGTAGTTTGGGGGGAAATGGAGGAATGGTAGTTTGGAATGGGGTAATATCCCATGGAGCGGAGAAGTGCCGCTGTTGCCTTACTTGACATAGATCATGTATCTGATTCATGCGGAGGTCGGTTCCAGTTTATTCGATCCATCTGGAGGAGTGTTCACCAGTGCTGAGGAAAGTTTGGAGGGCTTCTGTGCAGGGGTTTGAATGGGCTTGCCTGGGCATATTAACCCCAATTAGGATATTTCTTTCAGTAACACGATCTCTGATGCTTGGAATATCAAGTTCTTTTTGTATATTTAAAATTTTGGCAGTACGAGGGCATCCTAGGATGATCCTCATTGCTTCGTTCTGCAGTTTTTCCAGCCCTTCATGCTCTCAGTCAGACACAAGAGCAAGTAGTGGCGCAGCATAATCAACCAATGATCTAATATAAGCAAGATACATCATTTTCACAATTTTAACATTAGCACCATACCTGGGGTGAAACCCAGCCACAACTCTAATGCTCTCAGCCTTTCTTTGTACTGGCTACAAAGTCTCGTTACAAAAGGTCCAAGTAGTGGAACCTCAAAACCTAGATACCTGTATCTGGTAACATATTCTAGAAGAGACCCATCATGCAACTGGATCTGGCGAACTGTGCCTCTCTGTCAAGGAGGACGCCTATTGAGTATCTTTGTTTTATCAGTAGAGATTATCAACTCCAGGTCCTGACACGAGGCTAATACATGATTAAGGATGTTTTAGGCGTTGGAGAATCCGGTGCTGTGAATCATTATATCATCAGCAAAGCTAATCATATAATGATGGGGCTGATTAGGCATAGCAATTAAGTAAGGTTTTAAATTTAGAATATTGAATAGAGTGGGAATGAGCACACCTCCCTTTTGGGGTTCACAATTCAAAGTCTCTATTTTATATTTCTATACCCCTGGAACAACACAAAAGACTTTCTGTTGGACAGTAGCCTTTGAGCCATCGAGAAGCCATCCTCCAACATCCATTCTGGCAAGTTCACTAATGATTACATGTGGGTTGGCTACATCAAAGCAAAATTTAAAGGGTCAAGGAAGGTAATGTATGAGCTGTTCATGTGCAGGGTGAGAAAGGTGGTAATGCAATGATGCACACTCCTTCCTTTGCATGAAACCATGCAACCGGGGAAAAAAAAATTGTTTGATTCTGTACATGAGACGATTAAGAATCATCCTCTCAAATGTTTACAAAAGGGCAAGTAATAAGAGATATTGGGCGAAATACATTTTGTTGACTGGGCTTGGGAAATTTGGGGAATGATGAGGCTGTTGGTTCCAAGATTGAGGGAGCTCCCCAGTTACATAGCTCATTTTTTATATAATCAAGTAATGGATTACCTGGTACTCGACACAGCAATCTGAGTATGTGTAAGTAATACCATCCTCACCAGGCGACGTGGAGTTGCCCTTAGTTAGTGCTCCATCAAGTTCATAATTAGTGAAAGGAATGTTACAGTCATCTTCCTCGCTGAGCATAAAGTAAACAAGTCTCTCCCTTGCATCATATTTGTCATTTAA